AGACTTCTGTGCACGAGAAATGAGCTGCCCCCGAGTCCCTCATGGACAGTGAGCCAGGCACCAGTCCCATGGAAACACGCCCATTCCCTGCAGGACCCTGGAAGCTGCTCCCTGGGAAGCCATGAACAACAAGTCTTGAGCAGAGAGTGGTTCAGACAGAGCCACAGGACAGATGAGTTTTGCTCAATTATTGGTGCTTCTATAGGATGCAGAGAACTGAGATGGGGACAGAAGCCAAAGCACAGCACAAGCCACCCTAACACTCACCACACAGCCTGGGGCAAGAGGCTGGGAAGGACAGCACAACTCCAGGGTAGGTCAGGTCCTTGAAGGCGGGACACCAGAATCTCAGGCTGACAGCCTCAAAGAGCCCCCAGTAGGAAAAGAAAGGAGCAGAGTGAGGGGTGGAGCAGGGACAGGAGAGGGACTGTCGGGGTGTGCAGTACTCAGTGGTCCCTGAAACCTGGCACACAGACCCCATTCCACTCCTTTGACAACGCTGTGCACCACCACCTCCAGGCTGTGGTGGGGCCCTAAGCAGGTGCTCTGCATTTACGCACACGTGTCCTGAAGACAGGCATGGGGTCCTGTCACCTCTGAAAAGGAGTAGTGGCCAAGAGCCAGACAGATATGGCTTGGAGTTCTGTCTTTGCTACTATGTAGCCAACTGACTGTGTGTAAAAAAAAAGGGGGGGGGGCTGCCAGGTTGGTGTCAGGATTACATGAGAACAAACAGGTGGAAGATGCTGGCACAGACACATGCTCAGGAAAGCGATCTGCCCTCAGGGGTCCCTGCCCTGGCCCTGCTTTCCCATTCCTCCTCTTGGTGTCTACTCTCCTCAGGCCTGGGGCTGAACCACCTCGTCTTAGTCTCTGGGTCCCTGAGAAGCATGCGACCTTGGGTCTGCCATCTGCAACATGACCTCTCTACAGAGGCCTAAATGCTAGGAGGGTCCCAGGGTTCCCCAACCCTGTTATCTTCCCTGGGCTGACTCCCCAGTGCTCTGAGTGCTCTTCTGTGTCTCTTTTCTGCCTCTCCATGGTCTGTCCTCCCGCCACAGGCTCCCCTTCTAACCAGGATTTCCAAGGTGAAGGCTCTCCAGCCTCCTCCCCCCGCCAGCCCTCGCTCCCTGGCTTCACAGAATGGATGCATCCTCTGCTTGGGGACTCCTTATCTTCCTCTCCGACTCAACTGTCAATCGCCCCTGACAATTGTGCAACTCAAGTCTTCTGGATGTGTCCTTTTCCCCATTTCTACCACCAAAGTAGTCGGGGCCTCATGACTGCTTTCCTGTGCTAAGCAGACTGCCTCCTAACAGGGCTCCCTGCCCCTGGCTCTCTGACCACCCCACCCACCTGTGCTTCCCTCCACTACACTGAGCACCAACTGTGCCCGAGACATATCACTGGATAATACAGCCGGGTCCCTGCCCTCAGGCAACTTTCCAGCCGTAACAGTGCACATCATTGTTGACTTGCCTGAAACACTGCTCCCTTCTTTCCTAATCTTACACATTTTTTTAATTTGGGAGAGAGCACGTGTGCCTGCACATGGGATAGGGGCAGAGGGAAGGCGGGAGAGGGAGGGGGAGAGAGAGGATGGGACGGCGAGGGAGAGGGAGAGAGAATCTTAAGCAGACTCTCAGTGCGAGCCTGATAGGTGCCTAGATTGTAACCTAGGCCGAAATCCAAGAGTCAGATGTGCAAACTACTGAGCTGCCCAGGTGCCCCTCTTACCCATTTTTGAATTAAAATGCATCTTTTGGAAGAGATGAACATATACAAACTTCAGAGTACATTCTTTTGGCTAATATTTGGATGGTATATCCTTTTTAATGTCTTTTTTTTCAACATCATATTTAAGGTGGGTCTACTGTAAACAGCATATAGGTGAGCTTTCCCCTATAAATCTGGCTCACAATTGTAGTGGGTTGAATAGTTGTCTCCAAAAAGATGTCCAAATCCTGACCCCCCACCCATACCTGTGAATGTGACCTTATTTGGAAAAAGGGTCGTTACAGGTGATTAGGATACAGAACTTGAGATAAGATCATCCTGGATAAATGAGGTGGGCCCTAAATCTAATTACCAGTGTCCTTGAGAGACAGTAGAAGGCAAGGGGAAAGGAGAAGGCCTTGTAAAGGCAAAGGCAGAGGCTGCAGCATTGCAGCCACACCCCTGAAGAGGAACCCCTGAAGAGGAGGAGATGGGGAAGGATTCACCCCCAGACTCACTGGAGGGAGTGTGGCCCTGCCAACAGCTTGATTCTGGGCTCTGAGCTTCCAGAAAGGAGAGAACTTCGGTTGTGTTAAGCAAAGAAGTTTGTGATTATTTGTATGGCACCTCTAGTAAACTAATAAAGGCATTTTTTTTCTCCTAAAAAAAAAATCTGAAGAGTACAAACACACTCAGTGAGAAGTCTCCCTTCTGTCTGAAATCCCAGGCCATGTTTCCCTTCTCAGAGCCAACCACTGTCACCCAGATCTTGCACAGACTTCCAGAGACACGCCACATGAGACCAAAGATGGACAGATGTCTCTTTTCAGAGACAGACAGACACCCACATACTTTACACACTGTGGGACCTTGCTGCTCTCATTGAAATTTCACCTCCTGTACACGCAGCTCTGCCTCTTTTGTCAGAGGCTCTGTGGTCTGCCATGGCGTGGCCGTGCACCACGCAGTGAATGTCCTTGCCACGTACCGGCCATGCCCGTGTGGGTGAATGTCTAGTGGCGGACTCGCCGCGTCAAAGGTCGTGTACATGCAGTTGATTCTGTCACACCGCTCTCCAGGGGGTGTGGCAATTCCCACGACTTCCCGTTTCCCCACATCCCCGCTGGCAGGGAGCAGGAGCAAACCTTACCAATCTGATCACCGGACAGGCTGCCTCCTCCGCATGGCTTCAGTGTGTACTAACCGGGTCATGTGGGTGCCCAGATGCCCGCAGGGCTCGCTGCTGCCCAGCACCTCCGGTGGGGCTGGCAAGGCCCCCACCTGGCCCCTTCTCTCACACGTGCTCTCGGCTCACGCCCTCCCTTGAGGGAGCAAGGCACAGCGATCACTCCTATAGAAGTTCTGCGTACCCCACTTCGCTCTCCCTTTCAGAGCCTTGCCGGTGGTGCTCCCATAGCCTTGCTGCGTGACAGAGGATAGCTGAGATTCACATACAGGTGTTTTCTTTCATGTCACAAGGAGGAAGACATAAGAGGTGGTGTTAAAAATCACAGGGCTTGACGGGGGCACCCGGCTGGCTCAGTTGGTGGAGCATGTGACTCTTGATCTCGGGGGTTCTGAGTTTGAGCCCCATGTTGGGTATTGGAGATTGCTTAAAAATAAAACCTTAAAAAAAAATCACAGGGTTTGGAAGGGGAACAATTACCATGTAGTCCTATTTAGAAACTGAGTCATAAAAAGCACAACTGTTTTGAAATTAAACCACACAATTAAGAGAGCCATTTGGTCAATGTCAGGCACAGCCTGAGAGAAACAGAGTTGCCAGGAATGGAAGAGACAGTAAGAAGCTGCTTAGCTACCAGGTGGAGAGAAAGAAAGGTTTATGGTCGAATGGAGGTGGGGTTAACAGGGATTTTGCAGACTCAGTTACTGGGTAGTGGCAGTCCGTTGCACCTCTCCTGATCTGAGGACATTTCCCAAACCAGCACGTGGAGGGAAGACTGCCACCCTGCCCTGTGGATACAGCACAGGAAGAGACTCCTGAACCCGGCAGTGCTCTTGGCACAGCGCTACCCTCTGCTGTGAAAATCCACGGAGGCAATCCAATTACATACGGAATATAAATGTGTGGAATGTTCATGTTCTTGCGCCCAAAGCATAATCTTAAAGCAGGGGGGTGATCACAGACCACACACACTGTGGCCACATTAGCTTCTATTTCAAAATGTGACACAACAGAAGACAACTTGGATGGCTCTGCCCCACATGCTACAGGGAATCACAGACGCATGCTCTTCCCTGGGGCCAGGAAACCACAGGTCCTTTCATGACATCATGGGTCTAGGGATGTGAGAAGGTTTCCCACCCCACGGGAAGCTCCAGAGACCATGAGCTCATGCCAGAAGTTGATGTGCTTTCTTGCTTTCTTCTTTCTTTTCTTGCTTTCTTCCAATGGGCTGGAGCCAAAAAAATCCCTCGCACTTTTGGAGCTTTCTGTCCACTGACACACTGCTGACCTGGACGTGATGGCCTCTTTTTTCAAGGTGTACCACAGGTCAGTGTCCCATCCAAGACAGGCTTCCATCGAGGGCAACAGACTGTTCACCACGGCGAATGGCAAACAGCCCCAGGCCCCACTCAACAGCAAGTCCGCAGCAAAACAGCTGCCATTAATGCCAGCAAGGGACTGGTTCATAAAGTAGGCAGTTTGGACTCTCAGTCAGAGTCAGAAGGGTCTTTGAGGGTCCATCACCTCCAGTGTAAAGAGCGGAGAAAATGGAGGGGAAGGGGTGATCCCTCCAGGATCACCGCATAGTTACTAGTGGACCTGGGATGAAGTACAAGCCACCTGAGCCAACCTCTTCCTCCAACTGGCCCTGGCTGGGCCAGAGACCTCAAGCCACACTTTGCTGGTTCAGTAAACCCAGTACCCCAGTGCTCAGAAAGGAAAGAAACTGTTCTGGGTGGTGGTGAGCAAATCCACTCTCACTAGCAGAACCAGCAATCAAGGAAAATGTTTCCACACTTTCCCTACATTATAAACAGCCAAGCCCTATTCCAAACCTCCTAATGCCCGCAGTAGTAGGAAAACCCCAGAGGTACCAGTTCCTTTAGGGCAGGACAAAGTCCCAGAAAGTCACTGAGGCAGACTGCTGGTTGCCTCCCCAAAACCTACATACCCCCTTCCTCCCTTCCTTCCTAAGGCTTCAGCTACACAGCTGACAGACCACATTCCCAGCTGGGGGAATGACCTTGCAGCTGGCGGTGACCACAGGACTAAGTCCTAGCCTAGGAGAGTGTTAAACACAGGGTGATTACTTTTCAAGGAGAAATGAAGGGCCCACTGATTCTTACAGCAAGGAACTAAAGGCAGCCAAGTTGGGGTTGCCTTGAAATCTAGTCCCTGCTTTATGAAAAATGTTGTCATTTTAAGCAAGTCACTTTTCTGGGTCTCAGTTTCCTCAACTGTCTACTTAAGAGGGTCAATGTGGGGAGAAAAGCATCTGTAGCTGTGGCCACCATCACTGGCTACTTATGACAGGTACTTTACACATCATTATTTCTAACCTTTATGACAACCCTGAAAGGTATCATTCTCATTTTACGGGTAAGGCCAAAAACGGCACAGGCAAGGTCTGTCTACATGCATGGCCCTATGACTGCAAAGCCCATATCTCCACTGTCTCGAGGAAGCCTAATACAAGGCAACAAAGATTCTCGCATGAATGAGCCATAAGGGTAGAAGGGGCATTGCCTTGGTGCCCAGGAGGCTTCCTGAGACCAGGGCCCATCTCCATCACCTCAACAGGGAGGCCTCCTGACCCCAGTCTTCTTCCCTTAAACCCGCCCTCACATGAGCTAGAGTGAACTGAGCATGACACCCCCTTGGTCAAGCCGTTCAGTGTGTGTCCCACCTCCCCTTCCTCAGGGAACACGACTCAGGCTATTTGGGCTCACAAACTGGGCCATCCCCAGGGCGTGGCACCTTCCTTGGTGCTGTCACTCACACAGTCACTTTGGCTTGGGAGGGCCCTCACATTTCTTCTCCCAGATAACGCTTAGGCATCCTTCCACATTTAGGTCTGGCAGCTCTCAGACTTTCCTGCTTTGCAGCGGAGCTAAGCATCCATCCACATGGCTCCCCAGAGTCTCCTATGCGTACTACACATACCTCTGTACTGGCATTTCCCATGCAATATTGAGGATCTGTCTGTCTCTCCCACCAGACAATTAGATTAAGGAAGCAGGTAGGGACCTTGTCTTATTCATGCTTATAACCTTGGCACCTGGCCCTGTACCTGGAAGGAAGCAGACACTTAACTACTAACCAGAACAAACAGAGCAGAACATACTGGAAGAATGCTCAAGTCAAAAGAGGCAATAGCTTAGTGCGGGGGATGCAACCTTTGGTCCAAAATCTTGCTGCAACACTTACTGCGGGGCCAGGGGAAGTTGTTTAACCTCTCTGGGCCTTAATCTGCCCCTCTGTAAAATGGAAGAAGTTATAGTACCCCCTTCTTACAGGTATGAGTAAGACAATATATCAGAGTACTTAGAAAGTACTGTGCACATTTTAGCAGGGAGTAGCAGTGCCGTTATTGCTGGAGAAAGAGTCCGTCCTCAGGCACAAAGCCCAGTGGCAGAGAGCAGGAAAGCACACATCAGAGTATAACCTGTGCATCCCCAGAGTCTTTCTCTTTCCTTTTCTGTTACAAATCACTGTAACAAGTTTGGAAACTTAAGAGAAGTTATCTAAAATGTAACCATGGGATACAACCAAGCCCGCGGGTTGTTACAACATGTTACTTCTGGTTCCAAAGCTCCTTCTGGCCTATATGTCCCAGGAGGGAGCAGTACAAAGCCCCGTCAGGCTGTGCTCTGTTCCCTGGTCTGTCAGCCTCTATCAGCCCCAAAGGTTGATCACTCAGCATTCTCTAGGTGCGGCGGCTCTCTGAGGTGAGCACACAAGAACAGTGACAGGCATGACTCAGGCAGGGCAGGATGGCACGCTCCAGGCTGCAGCACGGGGTGGGGGTGGGGGGTGGGGGGTGCAGGCACCAGTCTTGTCCTCCCGCCTTGCAGGGCAGGACCCAGGGGAGGTGTAGAAATGCTTAAGGCCTGGCAAGACAGGGGCTCAAAACTAACTGCGAAGGTTCAGAAGACCACTGTCTGGACAGGGCTGGTTCCTGTCCTACCTTGCACTACTCTCAGCTGCTGAGAGGAGACGCGCTGGGAAATCAAGTCGGGGCACTGAAGAATTTCTTCTATCATCAGAGTCAGGAAAAAACTAGAACCGATGTGGCACTGATTCAAGAAACACCACGAGACACGACCCCTGTCGCCAGAATGTGATCCAGGAGGAGGAGCAGGTCAGAGCCCATGCGGGCTGGATGATGGACACCCCAGAATTCAGCACCTTTCAGCACTCCTGCACACTCTAGCCTTCCTGGTCTATGTAACCACCGTCCCCTCGCTTGGGCCTGTCAGTCAAGACAGAGTGCTGCCGGCCCGGGTCCTTCTCAGTCCCCAAGCCACCTTCCTAACCCACCTGCCCTGCACCTTGCTTCCTTTCACCGTTACACTGGGAAGCAAATCAAAATACTACCACCATCCGTGTCAGAGAGAAAGGTGGCTTCACACACTCAAAATCAAGACACTTTTAAGTTTTTTACAATGGGAGTCGATTTTTTGAAGTTTTAATTTAAATTCCATTAGTTAACAGCGTACTATTAGTTTCAGCATACAATATAGTGATTCCACACTTCCATACGTCACCCGGTGTTCATCACTAGTGCCCTCCTTAATCCCCATCACCTACTTAACCCATCCCCCCATCCACCTCCCCTCTGGTGACCATCAGTTTGTCCTCTATAGTTTCTTGGTTTGTCTCTCTCTCGTTCTTCTCCCTTTGCTTGTTTCTTAAATTCCACGAGTGAAATTATATGGTATTTGTCTTTCTCTGACTTACTTCGCTTAGCATTATACTCTCTAGCACCATCTATGTTGTTGCAAATGGCAAGATTTCATTTTTTTATAGCTGAGTAATATTCCACTGTGTGCACGCATGTGTGTGTGTGCGTGTGTGTGCACCGCTTTTTTGTCCATTCATCCATTGATGGACTCTTGGGTTGTTTCCATAATTTGGCTTTTGTAGATAATACTATCAACATCGGGGTGCATGTATCCTTCTGAATTAGTGTTTTTGTACTCTCTGGATAAATTCCTGATAGTGCAATTGCTGGGTTGTAGGGTAGCTCTATTTCTTACTTTGTGAGGAACCTCCACACTGTTTTCCAGAGTGGCTGTACCAGTTTGCATTCCCACCAACAGTGCATGAGGGTTCCCCTTTCTCCACATCCTCACCAACACCTGTTGTTTCTAAAATCAAGACATTTTAATGGTGGAACTTCAGGCACCAAAAAAGGTTGATGCAAAAGCTATCTTTGAAGAGAGACCTTTCT